GTCATACTCAGGCTTTTCCCCTGGGCGGCGCCTACCACCCGGCTAGCTTCCCCCTCTGCCGTCACTAGGACGAGTAAGCCAAACGGACCTTCTACCGATATCGGGGTAAGTTCATTCTCCCTCTCATAGCTTCTTCCCTCTCACGCAGTCCCTACCCCGTTCACTGCGGAACCCACCGTCCTAACTCTAAATCTGCCTCCACCATGTTATTTGCCCGGGGCTAAAACCCCGGGAACGCCTTCTTCCCCGCCCAAATCCATTCCCCAATGGGTGAGCTATGCCCCCCCTCCATCGCTGTTCTCCGATGTGCATGTACCTGGCGCAATCCGTCGGCCAGGTTCACCCGCCTTCTCCCCCCTTTCGTTCACTGATGCGCACACCCTTTTCCTACTGACTCCTAACCCCCTCACCCTCTAGCAAAACTAACACCGTTATGCAATTCGCCTGGTGCAAAGACCCCAAGTTCGCAACTTACCTCGCTCGAATCCGTCGAGGATCGAGCGAGATTCGGAGTTTTCACTCCCACCTCCCTCCTTTTCCGCCATACCCCAACGCATGCTTTTCTCTTACTAACTCTCTTTCTACCAACGTATCACTCAGTCCGACTACAACATTCAACTCGCAGGGGGTTAAAACCCCGGAAACGCATCCTCCCTCTTTCGATTCTGCTAGAGATCGAGAGAGTTACTTTTTCTTGACCGCGCTCGGCTCTGCCATCGCCCACTATGCTCCCGCATGCACCTAGCCAGTCCCATGTCCGGGTTCGTTTTCCCTCCGCCTGCGCTGCGATCCTTCGTTTTCCCTCCGCCTGCGCTGCGATCCTTACTTTAGCTTAGCCACACCGCTACCTCCCCTTCTGCCCGCAGCCCGTCACCCGTCATGTTATCACCCCACTACCTCTTCTCTTACCTTCCTTCCCTTCTACTCCCTGCCACCTCTGTCTGCACCCGACGCATCTTCCCACCCGGGTTCACACCCTCTCTCTACCAGCCCGTCGCTTCCCGCTCGTCGCCCCTGCCTTGCACCTCTCCTGCCGTGACGTCCTGCCCCCTGCCTGCTCCGTTCGTCCTTCCTTCTTCCATCTCGACAGTACCTGGCGCTAACCCCCGCCCAGGTTCACTCGATCCCTTACTCCTTTGCCTTGCCCCGCTCGTCTGCGCTAGTTCTCCCCTCCGGCTCGGCAACGTCCAACGCAAATCTGACCCGACTACTCCAGCGCCAGCTAGGACTTTTCCGGAGTCGATTACCGGCAACTCGGATAGTCCTCCGTTCTTACACCCGGGCCCAACAAGTGACTTGGCCGTCGACTCTCCCCACGGCCTCTCCCGCTCTTTTCTTAGGCAAGAAACGTCGTCGTCTCAACCTCCATCGGCCGGTTCCCACATAGGCAGCCCCCCCCCCGGCGGCATACCCTGTCGTACAGACTAGCAGCCTCGGTAAGTCGGGCTCCTTTCCCCGTCGGTCTGCATGTACCCGGCGCAACCCTGCGTCCGGGTCCATTTCAGATCTTTGTGCATATTCCTTGCGCCGTGGCCATGCAAATCTTCCCTGTATCGTTCCAACTTTAACGGATGTCCCGAAGGACCTAGCCGCGGTGGTACCCTACCCGCGGCTCTTCAAAATTTAAACCGCCAGCTGCGGTGCCGCGCCCCAAACCAAAATGGGTCCACAAATAATAGCAAGGAAAAACAAAAATAAAATAAAATAACATAAACAAAAATCCCTAAGCAGGGTGCGGGGACCGCTAAAACCCATCGGTCCCGTGGACCGGGTCTGTCACCGCCCCCATTAACAAAACCGAGCTGGGATAGCCCCGTCGGGCCCTCAACCCCCTCAGTTTTCTCCACGATGCTCCGCCGCTGCTGCGCCAACGCCCGCCGGGCTCGATCCCTGAACCTCTATAGTAACAGTCCGCTGCCGTAACCTATAGGGCTATGCCCAAGCCTGAGACCAGCGCCCGCAGGGTACCATACAAGGCAGTGCGGCGCGGCGCTTTGGGCCAACAAACTCGCTGCGCGGCTCCCAGTGCCCATGCTGGCTTGCTTACACCATGCCATGATTGCCTTGCGCGCCATCCTACGACACCCCCCTCCCCGCACGAAGTCGCGCCGTCGCTGCCGATGCCGTCGTCGAGGTCGTTCTCCTCACGCGCGCGGGTCTCGGTCAAACATACCAATCAAAAAGAAAATATCCCTAAATCCTGCTTAATCAGAAATAGATAAATAATAATAATATCATTTAGCAAAACGACCGATGTCCGCGCCAACTTTGTGATCAAACACAAAAAAGAATCACTCGCGCCCTAAACCTGCGCGCCCACGCACTCTTTATTATAGTCAACCATCCAGTCAACGTAAGTCACAGACGCAGCCGCGCCTAGCGCGGTATACTTAAACCTTAAACCAAAATTATTTTTTGTTACTTGCAACAACCAGGGCGGATACCATTGTAAGGGTATTCGCGCTGACAACGGGTTGTCCGAGCACGGCGTGGCACAGTTTCCCACCGAGTCTGCTGTCGTTTGGTGCCGTGGCTGCAGCGCCCCTTGGTGTGTTTCACGCGGTGCCCATGTCGTTTAGTGCTGTGGGTGCAGCACCCTTCGGTCTGTTTCGAAGCTCGAAGTGCCCATGGTTGTTCGTTGTCGTGAAGTACCCGTTGTAACATAACGCACTTTCCCGAAGTTCTCTCTCTCTCTCTCTCTCTCTCCCCTCACGGGACCCGAGGTTGTAATAGGCCCCCAGGTCGCGTCATCGCAACCTGAAGGCCCTATGGCATTTTTACTTGGGCCTGCATCAGAAAAACGCCAGCTTTAGATTATTTTTATATTCTTTTATTTTTTTATTTGTTGCTGTTTTTCTAACGGTTGTACTGTTGTCCGTCTTATGGCCAGGTACACGTTTTAGGACCAGGGCCAGATTCAGGCCCAGAGTCTGAGCTCCTAAAATGGTTTGGACCTTTTCTTTTGTTTTCGAACAGATTGCTACCTGTTCGGACCCAGGCCGACGTTGAGGCCGGGTACGTCTGCACAGGACCGGTTCGAAGCCAGGTACCAGGAAACTGAATCCTGGACAGGGCCTGGACGTCCGGTAGGGACCCAGGCAGGCGGTTTTAGGCCAAGGGCTGAACCAGTTTCAAAGCCTACGATCTGGACCGTGGATCGGATTTCGATCTGCACGGCCCATAACGCAGGCCGTGGGTTTTCAGTCCTGGCCCAGCCCTACATAAGCTGGGCCGTTGCCCAGTTCGAGGAACAAAAGGTACCAGGAGAAATCCAGCGTTATGCTGGTTCAGGAACTTCGCTGCTGCGCTATTTTGGAGACTCCGTGCTGCGCTATTTCGAGACTGCAGCTGCGCTGCTCATCGGCAACGAGGCACAGCGCTGGAGGAGTCCAGCGCCGAGGAGGGTAGTGGAG